CACACACACACACACACACACACACACACACACACACACACACACACACTCATACACACGTATATATAATTGTTACACTGACCTCGATTTCCTGCAGTCATGGTGTTCCCGTGTTGTTGGAAGGGTCTTCCTGCTCTCTTTGTTGGAAATCCTGCTTGTCCAGCTAATTCTCTCTCTCACACACACACACATTCACAAACTCACACACACACACACACACACAGATGAGTGGACATGGGGAGGGACGAACACATGTTAGGTGGCTTCCGTCCCCTTTCCGGATTTACCCGACCATGCTCGCCTCCTGATCTGTCCTCTTTTTGTGTCTGTTGTTTTTACTCTGTTTATGATTAACTTGTCAGGAAACTGCGTCGGCTCGGGGAACCTGTTGGCTTACGTCAGTGCTTTGAAAAGACTATTGTACAGTATTCGTACACACTGTTTCTTACATCAGCTCGGAAAAGGAATCAGAAGGGACCAATTTTTCATACGCGTTGAAATATAGTTTGGTTTGTAGCCTTTGTGACAAATTAATTAAAAAAAAAACAACGAGGGTTAGAACAGAATAGTTCATATTTTGACTGTATCAGAGAGCCATATGCTCTCATTTCTGCTGGCAGTCATTAAGCTAAGTAGAAAGTCAATGAATCTGGTGGGGGGGGGGGGTTGATCTGTCATAGTTTCTGTGACAAGCATCCAAAAACTGTTAAATTTACTGTAACTTGATGTTTGCATGTAGCTTCTGGCATGGCATTCAAACGCATGCAAACACTGGCAGGCATGCGGGCATGCAAATGACAACAAAACAAGGGTGTTTGCCCATCCATCGGTCAAACTCTCTCCCCTAAAATAGAAAGTTTATGATCATGTTCGCTTGATTGATAAAATGTGTGAAAGTAGTCAAATTGTAAACAGAGCAGGGTCGCTATAAATGGAGAGTTACTGGCAAATAGCTTAAGATGCAAGGTTGACAAAAAAAAAATCACGTGTTGCAGGAGAAGTATCATTTTAACAATCATTTTCTGTAAATTCATGACCAATAAATGTCTGGCATTCCATGCCTTTGATTTCAGAGTTTTGAGCAATGATCGTTATGTTTTAAAAAGTTAGAGTTGTTTTGATCGATGTGTTCAATCCCATGTGATCATGTGAAATCATGACTATGTGTTAACAAAAACCCGCAGCTACTGCCTCACCTGATTTATCTCTGTATCTGTAAATCTGGCCAAGTTACAGCCACTTTGGTGTTGATGCGTTTTGTCGATCATCTCAAATTGGGCTGACTCCAAAATTTAATCGGTCGTAGACGTACATGCAATTGTTGCTTTCTGATAGTTTTGTTCAAATAGGTTCAGTGGTTCATGAGATATGTTGCTAACAGACAGACAGAGTTGACTTCTATAGTTAAAGATAATGTTTTCAAACCAGGTATTTCTAAGTTGATGGAGCTTAGCCAACATTTAGTATAACGCTCAGTTACCACCACACCAAATTTGAGCTGAACATTTATAAAATTGGTACCTTTCCCTGTGCTTAGCTGTGTTGACCATCTAGAATGTGACTGATTCCAAAAGATAATCAGTCGTAGACGTACATCCAATGATCGCTAAATTAGAGTTTCATTCAAATGGGTTCAATGGTTCGTGAGATATTTTGCTAACAGTATGGTCAAATGAGAGCATGTACTGTATAATAGCACAGCAGCTGATATATAAGTAAGAGCCGTGGCTAATGAATCTGGAGAAGAAGAGATCGTTCCACAAGTGCACTGAGGCTGACGCAGCACTGACCTCACAATCCTCTTCCAGCCAGCAACAGTGTGTGTGTGTGTATGTGTGTCTGTAATGGTCTATCTCGCTGTGTTTCTGTGGAGAAAGGGACATCGGTGTGAGTCATCCAGCAGTGATTGAATTAGCCGAACTTTGGCTGAACACTCACGGGGAAAAGACAGGAAAAGCTGAATACATTACCTCAGGAATCGGAGAACACATCTCTGAGACAGACAGACAGTCTGGCAGTGGGAGTGTCGCCCGGTTTTACGAAGACAAAAAAAAAACCTCACCCAGCTTTATTAAAGCTTTACATAAAGCCTGAACTCATCCGTTCTCATACACTGCTTGCAGAAGAGCGCTGAAAGACACGAGGTCTCTTTGTAAAATTTATTTGAAAACATCTGGAGGATTACTTAAGTCCAGAACGTCATGTGGTTTCTTCAGCTGATTTTCTGTCAGACAAGGGGGGGGGGGGGGGGGACAATGGAAAAGTTCTGATTAAATCTGTTTGGGATGTGAGAAAAGAGGGGGAAAAACCATTTGCACCAGTGTCTGGCTCAGTTTAAACAGAGAACTTTTGAACAGACTCTGCTTCAACATGTGATGAGGGCACAGCTGCTGAAATCTGTTGTTCAGAAGTAGGTCAAACGTGGTGTTTACAGACTCATGCAAATATTTACTACACCTCTATTGCTTCACTGAGGGGTTTTCATTATGGTCTTACAGGGCTGTAAAAACTATGAGGAGATTAGTTCTTCAAGATTTTGTTGCACTTGGAATTATGTCGGTGTTGTCT